CCGGCAGCTGCAGCCCCCAGGGTCTCATCCCTACCAGGAGATGCCAGGGACTGAATCTTTGCACCTTTTGCATGCATAGCTCGTGCTCTGAGCTATCAGGGAAAATCACAGAGAAGCAGATGAATACCAACAGATGGAGCAGGAAGGTTTCTTTTCCATATTGGGGTGTAGCAGAATGAGACTGCCTGTCTGGCAAGTTCTGCAAAGTCACTGAGCTCTCTCGCCTCGTTGGCATGCAAAGCAAAGAGCAGCTGATTGTGAAAACACTTGAGAAGAGTCTTTGAGTTCTCTCGCCCTCTCGCCATCTTCTCTGCGTCTGAGAAGTTGTGATCAAGGGACTTGTTTTCACCCGGCAAAATCCCAGCCCTGCAGCAGCTGAGAAGGAGGAAGAGATTTCTGTGCTTTGCATCAGGTGCGCCATGGGAAATGCAAGCGCCCTTTCTCCATCTACCGCGGGAGGAGTCACATGGCCATCAAATCTTTGCACAGTTCAATGTGTTGCTTTAGTTAGGCCAGCTGTGATGTAAAAGTTTGCATCAAGTGGGCTTGCGGTGATTTGCACAGGCACACAAGCAGGAAAACAACCTTCAGAATCTGAATGAGGAAGAGGGAAAACAGCCTCGTGGTTTGTGATCATCACATTGCCAGCAAGGATTCAATAGGTTAACTATATGCTGCGAAAAGAATACTCATTTATCCGTCCTAAACATTCAGCTTCATTAGAGAGCCAAGGATTCTAGTGTTATGAGAAAGAGAAATAAAAATTATTCTGTCCACTTTCTCTGTGCAACGCATTGCTTTATAAGCTTCTATCATATTTTATCTGTCATAAATCTTCCAACATGGAGAGGCAGGGAAGTCCATGGAGATTTCATGGAGCCACCATGGCTAGTAACAATCAAATGATTTACCCTCCATGAATTTGTCTGGCTAACAGATTGAGGTTGAATCCTGACAAAACAGAAGTGCTGTTTTTGGGGGACAGGAGGCGGGCAGGTGTGGGGGACTCCCTGGTCCTGAATGGGGTAACTGTGCCCCTGAAGGACCAGGTGCGCAGCCTGGGAGTCATTTTGGACTCACAGCTGTCCATGGAGGCGCAGGTCAGTTCTTTGTCCAGGGCAGTTCCATCTGGTACGCAGGATGAGACCCTCCCTGCCCATGGACTTTCTGGCCAGAGTGGTCCATGCTCTGGTTATCTCCTGCTTGGACTACTGCAACGCGCTCTACATGGGGCTACCTTTGAAGGTGACCTGGAAACTACAAGTAATCCAGAATGTGGCAGCTAGACTGGTGACTGGGGCGGCCGCAGAGACCACATAACACTGGTCTTGAAAGACCTACATTGGCTCCCAGTACATTTCCGAGCACAATTCAAAGTGTTGGTGCTGACCTTTAAAGCCCTTTATCGGTCTTGAACTTATTCCCCATCATGGATTTCATCCCTCCATTCCTTCCTGCACATTGCCTCTTCCTTTATGCCTATTAAGCACAAATCCAGCCTTGAGATGAGGTTGGTGTATTCTTCCTCCTGTTTCTGCTTCTATTCTCTGATCAGTTCCCCTTCTGCAATAGCATTTCTGGCAATTAAAGGGAGCTTGCGAGAGATATATCAACACTTTAAAAAGACAAATCAGCCCTTATTACAGGGCATACCTTTTGCAGAACCTGAGCAGCTGGCTAGAATTAGAACCTCTTTGCAAGTTCATTATAATAAACCAGACCTGCAAGCTGGCTCTGACCTGGCGTGTTTTGAGTGGACCTCGGTTCCTCTGCAAGCCAGCTAAGCACGCTGTGCCAAGAGCAGAGTAATAAATAAACATATAAATAAATAGGATGGTACTAATGAGAGACTTTGAGGTGCATCCTTGAAGCCTGGCAACTGGGAACACCTGAATGGCTTTGTGCTTTGCATACATTTGTAAAGATGATCTGACTGAATGCAAATATCAGCGGAAGGTTTTTGATGATGCCTTTACTTTCATCACAGAAACTTCTGTAAGTTCAGGATGCAGATATCTGGGACTGGCCAATGGGAACTGTCTCCATGGCTGCTGGTCCATTTCAGACCACAATCCAAAGCAGTGGTAAAAAGGTAAGACAGTAAGAGCTGTTCGACAGTGGAATTTGCTGCCAAGGAGTGTGGTGGAGTCTCCTTCTTTGGAGGTCTTTAAGCAGAGGCTTGACAACCATATGTCAGGAGTGCTCTGATGGTGTTTCCTGCTTGGCAGGGGGTTGGACTCGATGGCCCTTGTGGTCTCTTCCAACTCTATGATTCTATGATTCTATAAAGGTACCCCTGCCCATACGGGCCAGTCTTGACAGACTCTAGGGATGTGCGCTCATCTCACTCTATAGGCCGGGAGCCATCGCTGTCCGCAGACACTTCTGGGTCACGTGGCCAGCGTGACAAAGCTGCATCTGGCGAGCCAGCACAGCACACGGAAATGCCGTTTACCTTCCGGCTGGTAAGCGGTCCCTATTTATCTACTTGCACCCGGGGTGCTTTCGAACTGCTAGGTTGGCAGGCGCTGGGACCGCAACGGGAGCGCACCCCGCCCAGGGATTCGAACCGCCGACCTTCTGATCAGCAAGCCCTAGGCTCTGTGGTTAACCCACAGCGCTACCCATGTCCCTTCTGTGGAGTTTACTTTTATCTAAATATTGCAAAGGAAGGAATGTGCAGCACAGGTTAGTAAATAGGTAAATAAGAATTAGTCATGAATGTAAACTGAACCCCTTTGGACAAGCACAACAGCAATCCCTCTGACTGTAAAACCCAAGTGATATTGGGTGGTGGAGGACAGTTATTGAGGACTGCTGAAGAAAGAGATCAACATGCTCAGGGAAAACCCAAGTGGCAGACTATCACTGGAAGACAGATCCTGAAGCTGAGTCTCCAGTACTTTGGCCACCTCAGGAGAAGAGAAGACTCCCTGGAAAAGACCCTGATGCTGGGAAAGATGGAGGGCCCAAGGAGAAGGGGACGACAGAAGACGAGATGGTTGGACAGTGTTCTCGAAGCCACCAGCATGAGTTTGACCAAACTGCGGAAGGCAGTGGAAGACAAGAGGGCCTGGCGTGCTCTGGTCCAGGGGGTCACGAAGAGGCGGACACAACTAAACGACTAAATAAGTATTTTAGCCCAGTCCCACCCGCATCTCTGAGCAGCCGGAGGACCCAAGGGAAACCTGCAGCTGTTGCCTCAGAAAGAGAGAGAGCCCCCCTATGCCTCTTGGGGGGCTCCCTCAAGAGGGGCAGATAGAAAAAGGAAGGAAGGAAGGAAGGAAGGAAGGAAGGAAGACACACGCGGAGGCACTGACCCTCCCCCGGGGAGGCTTCTCCTGCTCCCGCCGCCGGCGAGGGAGAGAGCGAACGGGAGCGCGCGAGCGAGCGCCTGAGGCATTAAAAGAGCGAGCGCGCGGGCAGGACGAACGGCGAGAGGGAAGCGCGCCGTCGCCATGGCGACCGCCGCTTCCCGTATCCGCCGTCGCCATGGCGACCGCCGCTTCCGGCTTCGAGCGCCGGCCTTGGCCGGAAGGGGACGCTCTCGCGCCCCAGGGGGAGGGTAGGCGGGGCTAGCAGCTTCCGGCGCGTCTTTCTCTCTCTGGCTCTTTCTCTGTGTCTCCCCCCCTCCCCGTCCCTCGTCGGGCTGAGGCGAAGAAAGGGGCCAGCCTCGTCCGGGTTACGGTGGCCGGGCGGGGCCAGGCGGCGCCCGAAGCGAAAGCGAGGAGAAGGAGGGCTGGCTGCCTCTCTCCCTCCCTCCCTCCTCCGCCTCTGCGCGCGCGGCGGGCGCCGGTCCCGGCCGGACCCGGGGCTTGGCAGGCAGGCAGGCGGGCAGGCAAGATGCTGGAAGCGGCCGGGCCGGACCCGGAGCTGGACCCGGAGGACCTGGTGCACTTCTCGGTGGGGGACCTGCCCAGCCGGGGCTACGGGGTGATGGGCGAGATCCGGAGGCAGGGGAAGCTCTGCGACGTCACCCTCAAGGTAGCGCCTCAGGCGGGGGGGGGAGAAAATAGGGGAGGGTCTTTTCTCTGAGGGAGAGCTGGGGGGGTGCCTTTCCCTGAAGGGGAGGGGGGAGATGTGGGGGCTGGCCCTGGGGGGGGAGAGATGGGGGTCTTTTCCCTGAGGGAGATTTGTGGGGGGTCTTTTCCATGAAGGGGAGGAGGGAGATGTGGGGACTGGCCCTTGGGGAGGGGAGAGGGATTGGGGGCTTTCCCGGGGGGGGGTGAGGTGTGATGGGGGTCCCTGAGAGGGAAAGGAGGGGGAGAGATGGGGGTCTTTTCTCTGAGGGAGGTTTGTGGGGGGTCTTTTCCATGAAGGGGAGGGGGCAATTGGGTGGCTGGCCCTTGGGGGGGGGAGAGATGGGGGCTGGCCCTGGGGGGTGAGGTGTGGCGGGGGTCCCTGAGGGAGAAGGGAGGGGAGAGATGCGGGTCTTTTCCCTGAGGGAGAGGAGGGGGTCTTTTCCCTGAAGGGGAGGAGGGAGATGTGGGGACTGGCCCTGGGGGAGGGGAGAGATGTGGGGACTGGCCCTGGGGGGAGGGGAGAGATAGGGGGGGCTGTCCTTGGGGGGGAGGTGTGGCGGGGGGTCCCTGAGGAGAAGGGAGGGGGAGAGATGGGGATCTTTTCCCTGAGGGAGATTTGTGGGGAGGGTCTTTTCCATGAAGGGGAGGAGGGAGATGTGGGGACTGGCCCTTGGGGGAGGGGAGAGAGATGGGTGGCTGGCCCTGGGGGTGAGGTTGTGGCGGGGGTCCCTGAGGAGTATGAGAGGTGAGGAGATGGGGAAATATTCCCTGAGGGCAGAGGGAAGGGGTCTTCCCTGAGGGGAGGGGGCAGTTTGTGGGGGCTGGATCTTATGGGGGAAGGGAGAAGGTGATTGGGGGCTTTTCCCGGGGGGGGGGTGAGGTGTGGCTGGGTCCTTGAGGGGGAAGGGAGGGGGAGAGATGTGGGTCTGCTCCTGAGAGGGAGGGAAGCGTGTGGGGGGGTTGGTCAGCATTTCGGCCCCCCACCCCCACAAGGAGGGTATTAATAAATGAGGCAGACGGAACTGGTTTTCCAGCACACATGTTGCGCCTGTGTGGAAGGTAATCTTGAAGTCACAGAGTTGTAAAGGGGGGTCCCCCAGGGGTCATCTAGCCCGGCCCCCCAGCAACACAGCTGCAAGAAACCTCGCTGTGAGTCGACCTGAGACTGATATTGTAGGCGGTGATGATACACACATAAAGTAAGCAGCAATATGCGCTTATTGTCTGTTCCAGCACTCAAAAAAGTGGCTTTTTGGGGGGTGGGAAACGACAAATATACGACATTGGAAGCGGCGTTGAACAGTGTCAGGGCCAACAGCAAGCCAGTGTGTTGTGTTCGCTGCGCTCTCTCCGGTAGAGTTTATTCGGCTTATTTTATGGATCCCCACCCCCCATAAAAGGTCGCTTTTGCTATGGCAGCCAAGGGAAGACTCACTTCCCTGTAAGCAGCTGGAAATCGGGATTTTATGGAAGGAGGGCCTGTGAAGAAGAAAAACCATATAGGAAAGCTGGTGGATGTGATTTGGGGTGGGGTGGGGGGTAAGCAGTAGCAGGAGGGGTCGCCTTGCCCTTGAATCTCCAGGTCAGCTTTCCCAACTAGGTGCCCTCCTGGTGCTGTTGGATTCCAGCTCCCATCAGCCCCAGCTCCCATGGCTATAGTTGGGGGTGCTGTGAATTGTAGTCCAGTAGCCTTCAAAGGGGACGCGGGTGGCGCTGTGGGTTAAACCACAGAGCCTAGGACTTGCCGATCAGGAAGTCGGCGTTCGAATCCGCCAATGACGGGGTTGAGCTCCCGTTGCTTGGTCCCTGCTCCTGCCAACCTAGCAGTTTTGAAAGCACGTCAAAGTGCAAGTAGATAAATAGGCGGGAAGGTAAACGGCGTTTCCGTGCGCAGCTCTGGTTCGCCAGAAGCAGTTTAGTCATGCTGGCCACACGACCCGGAAGCTGTACGCCCTTGGCCAGTAAAGCGAGATGAGCACCGCAATCCCAGAGTTGGCCACGACTGGACCTAACAGTGTGACACGACAGCTAAAAAAGCCCAATGCAATTCTGGGCTGCATCAATAGGAGTATAGCATCTAGATCAAGGGAAGTAATAGTGCCACTGTATTCTGCTCTGGTCAGACCTCACCTGGAGTACTGTGTCCAGGAGGGCAACCAAAACATGGTCAAAGGCCTGGAAATGATGCCTTATGAGGAACGGCTAAGGGAGCTGGGCATGTTTAGCCTGGAGAAGAGGAGGTTAAGGGGTGATATGATAGCCATGTTCAAATATATAAAAGGATGTCACAGAGCAATGGATCCAAACTACAAGAAAGAAGATTCCACCTAAACATTAGGAAGAACTTCCTGACAGTAAGAGCTGTTCGGCAGTGGGAATTTGCTGCCAAGGAGTGTGGTGGAGTCTCCTCCTTTGGAGGTCTTTAAGCAGAGGCTTGACAACCATATGTCAGGAGTGCTCTGATGGTGTTTCCTGCTTGGCAGGGGGTTGGACTCGATGGCCCTTGTGGTCTCTTCCAACTCTATGATTCTAATGGTCAGGGGTCCTTTACCTTTACCTTTTAGCCTTCAAAGGCTGCCTTTACTGTCAGTGGCGAAGGGTCAGAGGTGTGCTTTAAGAGAGAAGATGCAGCAAGTTGGGACTAAGGCGGTCCCTCCCACCTAAAGGAAATGCAGGTATATTGGCATCCCTGAGTGGTTGTAACCCTGATGGGTAGAGGGATGCAGGAAGAAAGTGGGGACCTATATGAGATGGGGTTTGGGATCAGATTGGGACTGGGAAACGGGTAGAGCCCAAGTAGCAAAAAGCTGCGGTTGAGGGCGATACTACAAAGCCCATGTTTTTGTTCAGGTTAAAGTTTCCTGTTAAGCATTTGTTTGTTTGAAGGTATTATAAAGAGGTGGCAGCACCTTGTTTGGGGAGCTTCTCATCCTGGGTTTGCCCTTTGATTATAATCCAGCAGAGGATAACTTCGGTCCCAATTATTAGGAGTAACCACATTTGCATAGCATTGCCCTTTCGTCATGGCAAGCTGTGCAACCTCTGAGGAATGCGTTCGAGGTTGCCCAATGGGGTTTTGAAGCCTAGGTTGCCGGTGACAGCAGTGCTTCCTAGCTAGTCCTGGTTTTAACGTTTTGTGGGTGGTCCGTGTGTAAATTGGATTTCGGCACCGGCCCAGCTTGTGGTGTTCCACCTCCTGCATGCAAATTGCAGCTGCACGCTCTCCTCACAGGAGAAGCAACCCAAGGACTGAATGACTCATGGAACGAATCCTTCTTCCCGGCTTGGCATGTGGCTGATGTGAAGCAGATTGGCAGCGGTGGTTTGGCAAAGGGCATCATCAAAGGCTCTCATCCTTCTTTAAAGTTGGGATTCTCCAGCGCTGCAATCCTCCGGAAGTCCAGAAAACATTATCTGATCTTCCCTTTTAGACCTCCTACACAGTTTCAACAAGCATTATAGCATTAAAAACTTGCCCTGCTGGGTCTGACCCAGGTTCTAATTAATTCAGCAGTTCTGTTTCCAGCAATGAGGGTATGATGGCATCAGCCTTTCCCCTACTGTGTTTTCACAGCATACTGTATTCAGAGAAATCCTCACTTTAATAATAATAATAATAATAATAATAATAATAATAATAATAACAACAACAACAACAACAACAATAATAAATTTTATTTATACCCCGCCCTCTCCAGCCTCAGGGCGGCTAACAATCAATAATAAAAACAAGTTGATTTAAATACAATTAGGATGCAGCCTCTTCAGAGGAGAAGAAAGGAAAAAGAAAGAGGGGGAGGGAATCAAACTGATTCTAAGCCAAAGGCCAGGTGGAACAACTCTGTCTTACAGGCACTGCGGAAATAAATCAGATCCCAAACGGCCTTGGTGTCATGAGACAGCGCGTTCCACCAGGCCGGGGCCAGTGTTGAAAAGGCCCTGACTCTGGTTGAGGCTAATCTAACTTCCTTAGGGTCCAGGACCTCTAGGTAAAGGTACGGGACAGTCTTGACAGACTCGGGGGTTGTGCGCCCATCTCACTCAAGAGGCCGGGGGCCAGCACTGTCCGAAGACACTTCCGGGTCACGTGGCCAGCGTGACAAAGCTGCATCTGGCGAGCCAGCGCAGCACACGGAAACGCCGTTTACCTTCCCGCCAGTAAGCGGTCCCTATTTATCTACTTGCACCCGGGGGTGCTTTCGAACTGCTAGGTTGGCAGGCGCTGGGACCGAGCAGCGGGAGCGCACCCCACCGCGGGGATTCGAACCGCTGACCTTTCGATCGGCAAGCCCTAGGCACTGAGGCTTTTACCCACAGCGCCACCCGCATCCCTCCAGGACCTCTAGGGTGTTGCTATTTATGGACCTTAAGGTCCTCCGTGGGGCATACCAGGACAGGCGGTCCCGTAGGTACGAGGGATATATAGAGGTCCCAATCTAAGCTAGTAAGTTTTATTATCACTAAGGTTTATCCTTCATGAGCCTGTTTCTGACCTTCCTCAGTCTTAAGGGTACCAGATTGAAGGCAAGTTCAGTCCCTTTTTAAAAAAAGCAGGCATAACCTGTTGCCTCCTATATCAGGGGTGGGGAGTCTCTGGCCCTCTGTTGCTGAACTGCAGCTTCCCTCAGCCTCAGCAAGCATGTTCACTGACTAGGGATGATGGGAGTTGTAGTTCACAACATCTGGAGGGCCACAGGTTTCCCTGTCCCCTGTTTAAATCCATATTTTTTGGGGGGTGGATAGGTTTATTAGGTACAGAAAACCAGTATGAAGTATCCCACTACAATGCACTTAAAATCCAGACAGCTCCATATGGCTATCCCTCAGCTGTCATCTAACATCAGCTGTGCCATATGGCAGTAGCCCGATGAGAGATGGGGAGCAGGGCCCACTTCAACAGCTCCACAGAGACACTAGCTGTTGCTGGCTCCTCCTCGCGCTGAACCATTTCCATTCAAGATG